GTTTTGGTATTTTCTTTATGACCAAATGACTATATTGCTTGATTATGTTTTAATTATGTCCTACATTATTTATGAAAGAGGGGGCCTTTGTAAAAGGTTTCCAGCAACATTAATATTTCTCTTATGCTCATGTCTGGAAAATGCCTTCAGATATGTAAGTCTTCATCCACAATAAATAAATAAATAAATGGAAATTGCATAGGTGTTCCATTACATTTACAGGGACAAGGTTCTATTTAACTACCTCCAGACTTATGGAAAATAAAATCCTTCTGTACAAAACAAAATGTTGTGTGTTTACCTGTAAACCAAGGAGTCCTTTCTCCACCCCTGCACTGCTATTTGCATAACTCCATCCCACACAGTTCATTTTATGGGTACCACACTTCCCTGGTGCTGGGGAATTATGGATCGAATGCTGATTCCAACACCTTCTACCGTACACTTATGAAAAAAAACCCCAAAACAATAAAGCACATTACAGCTCTTACTGTAGAATCTGATTCAAATAGTAGTGTTAATCAATCAGATGCATTTTTTTTTTTAATTTCATATTTACACCATAGTCTGCCTCATTTATAATCCAGCTAGAAATCTTTCCCACAAGGTTAACTGATACAGTCCAATGCTTACGGGAAATGGTAAAATTATACATGTGCATAGCTAATGCTGTGTTTTTTTTGTGCAGAATATGTGTAGTAAAGTAAAAGCAAAAGTCCTTTGTACTGTAAAGCTAGCATGTTTATGCTTTTTTATAACATACGGGTATATGAAAAAAATACATTTATGGTAAAGTGGACCAAAAAAGAGACATTTACAGTGTGTTTTGGGGGTTTTTTTGGTCCAATAAATTATTTTGGATACAGAGTTTTAGGCACAGAAGATTTGTTTTACTTTGTAATGATACTTTCTGTATAATTCTGGCATTATTATTGGCTTGATAGTACAGTTTTTCTCAAGATACTTCTTTACACTATAACAATTATTAATAAAGTTTAGGGTTATTGGGTTAGGCTTGGGGTAGGTTGATGTTAAAGTTAGGTTTATGGGGCTATAGTAAGCTTAGGTTCAGAGGTTACATTTAGTTTTAGGGATATGTTTAGGGCTTTCAGTTAAATACTGAAACTAGGCCGATGTTCAGGGTAAAGTTGTATTTTTATATTGAACTTTTTGTATTGAAATTCTACTTTTTTGAGGCAATAACGCAGTCTCTTATGTGTTTTTGTGTGTGTATTTTGTTAGTGCTAAACAAATTTTGGGCGTTGGTTTGCTTAAAGTGTAACTTTTGCACTGGTCAGTAACAATGTGATCAGATCAAGTTCAGGCAAAATTGAAGATTTCTTTTTTACTACATTATTTCTGATGAAAACAAATTACTGGATCTGCATACAATTTATCCTTTAGTATTGTAGCTACATTACAAGTGAATCCTTCTGTGTCTTTCTACTTTCTTGTGACTTTGGTGTTCATTTATTAAAGCTCTACCAGGCCAAAAAATGTCATAGCTGTCTTCCAATAGCTGCATAGCTAGAAACTTTATTAGAAAAGAAAAGTAAGAAAAGAAAAATTGGTTATCTCAAATGAATACAGTTATATGTGTGCAAGGTGTGTCTTGTGTGACAGTTGATAGCTTTGCCATTTGAAAGTATTTTATATTTGTGGGACATCTTTCAATCAAATTTATCCTTCATATTAAGAGTTTTTACACTCACTGGCTCCATAAGTACAATAAATATGTGGCTTGGTGCATCAAAGTTTGACCAGCTTAGAAAAAACGTGTACGGGACATTTACGGTGAGTTTGCTTTTGTATAATTGTATATAATTGTAAATCTGCCACATATGAAGCAATGTCATTGTTTTTTAATGTGGTGTTGCTATTTACAGTAGTGTTAAATCAGTGCTTTTGGCAGCTACTATTTATATTTTAGACTCTCTAGCTAGCAGAAAGCTGCATAGAGTCAGAAGCTGTGTGCACTTCTTAATACCTGGAAAGAAGAGATAAATATTTAAATTGGCCAAAAAAGTGTGTTGTGTGTTGCATTTACATTTATATACTGAAAGACTAGCCAAGCTATACTGCTCTGTCCAGTCAATGAACTTCTACATGTCCAGTCATCCTTTACTTGGAAAAGGATTCCCTTTAACCAGATCTGGCATTTGAAGCAAACACAATTCAATGAATTGGAGAAAAACCTGCACCATTTAGTATACACTCACACTGTAGATCAAACATGTCAAAATCAACTGACGCAGGAAAAAGGACCGACTTCAGAAGATAATACTCAGAAGGCTACTTTTGCTTTTAAGTATGTAATTCCCATAGTTGTAAGTCATATGCCAGCTTTGGAATGATATCTTTATTTACAATCGAAAGCTAAAAAGTATTCAACAAATCTAGGCTATTCACTCTAGCCTGTCCTAATAGCTTTGTGGAATGGATACAAAGATTAATTTAAACATTTGCCATATCTAATTGTTCTTAATTGTCAGATACACCAACCTCTCTGATAAATAGCACTGTGATTATGGGTTATTCAGTGTTTTAAATGTCCCACATTCAGTTTCATATAGAACCAATGGAAAACATTATCATCACTCATTAAGACCATAACAAAGTGATAGAGGCCAATGTAAAAGTGGGCTGGAATAAACATTTACTAACAAAGGGGGGACAAATGTGGTCTTCTAAAACACTGGTTTGATAACTTTGATTTACATTGTGAATTATTATTGTTACATTAAAATAAAGGGTCATAAACTATCAAACTGATAGATAGTTAAAGAGTTTAAAGGCAACGTGGTAAAAGAATCACACAACACACAATTTGGCAAAGTAGGAAGTGTGTTTTAACCAATGATACTTCAAACGTTCCATGTTGTACACAGGCAAAAAAGTGCACATATACACACACATTCATACTAAATGAAAGATCCAGAGTAAAAAAAAAAAATAACGTGTTATTGTCACCCAATGATATAATTTTTAATTGTTTATTCCACAACTTAATGATTTTTTTTTTTTAAATAGCAGTTGTTTGTTTTTAAGCTGTAATATTTTCTTTCCACTTCATAAAGTACAATACTTAAAAAAAAGATGTGACAGAAAATATTAATAAGCTTGATTTTGTTAATCCCTTCAACATATGTGTTAGCTTTATGAAATAATACTTTTGCTATGCATGATGGACTCATCAGCTAAAACCCAAATATGTACAAGAGTTATTTGCTTCTAAATATATTTCTGCAGGCTATATCAACCCTACCCTTCATATTCCTCCCCAAGACTCATTGTTCAAAAATACAATTTATTTTCTTTGGTATAAATCAGACACTGATTTTTTAAAAAACAGCGGAGATTCTCAATATTCATAGGTATTAACACATTAGTATCTGTCTGTATATCTCCCTAGAGAGCTTATTAAAGTAGGAAAAAATATCCCTTATCCACTAATGAGGCTTGATCTCTGTCTAATCTCTTTTTTATACTGACCCCAATTAACATTGTCTTGCTTTCTCCGGCTGATTTCTGGTTTAGCTTATTTGCGTGGTTTTAATAAAAATATTATGTTGTTTATTAAGCTAATGTGAAAATGTTGTTATTTTATATAATAATAATAATTATGAAAATAGTGGTGGTGGTAATGCAACTACTGAAGCAATTGTGATAAAAGTCTGTATTCAAAAAATATATGTGGGATATATGAATTACATACATTGTTCATACAATAAGAATTATTTGTTACTTGTGGATTACATATGTAATTCAATACATACATGCAAACCTTAATCTTCTATTTTAAAACAAAAATACTGTATTTTGAATTATAAGATACTTCTTTGTTATTTTGTTGTTTTTCCTTTTCTTGAAAAACATACAACCAACATGTTTAATTGGTATAAAACATTGCTTTCAAAACAAACACCAGTAAAACACATGGAGAGTAAAATATCCCCTTATATTTCCCTCTTGTCTGCTACAAGTACAAGGAATTTAAAAATTAATAAGCATAGTCATATTGAGGGGGATAAATTATATAAATAAAATTTTATATATATATATATATATATATATATATATATATATATATATATATAGTTGAATTTTGTTACAGTTATACCTGCTGTAATTTAAATCATTTGCATTAATTTCTTTGTTTTTCTCATGGCTTTTATATACATGAATTCTTACATTTTGAAAATATATTACCTACATTAGCTGCACTAGACCACTGATAAATGCAACGTACATATTAATGTATGTATTTTTAAATAGACAGATAGATAGATAGATAGATAGATAGATAGATAGATAGATAGATAGATAGATAGATAGATAGATCAAAATTATTAAATAAACTTACTTATAATATAAAGTAATGTAATGAACTCATGGCTATGAAAATATCGTTTTACATCTCTCTCTCTCCCTATCTCTCTCCCTGTGTGTGTGTATATATATATATATATATATATATATATATATATCTAGAAAGAAGGAGAGAGAGGTGTGGAGGTGTGTGTGCGTGAGATATATATATATATACACACACACACATACAATATATATCTACATAGATATATATAGATATACATATATGTGTATATCTATATATTTATTTTCAGATAGATGGATAGATAGATAGATAGATAGATAGATAGATAGATAGATAGATAGATAGATAGATAGATAGATAGATAGATAGATAGATATTGAGCAGATTCCTTCCAAAATAGTTTCAAAGAGATGCTGATTGTTAGTATAATGATAGACAAGGAATTGTACAAGCCAGACATATATACTATGTATGATCAGATAATACCATGGTATAATATTAGGGTTATCAGACTATAATATTAGGTGATAAGAAGGTTGTGAATTCCCCTTTTTATAGCGCAGGATGGGACACAACAATTGATTTCTAGCTGTTTAGAGGAGAGATACATGTAGAAGGACAGAAGTCCCCGGATCGGCTGTGGGTTTAGCCCAGGTCTACTTACAGTTTCTCTTCCATTGACTTGGATAGTTTTGGCTAGGCGGTTGTCCGCTGACTTGGACCTTCTCTCCATCTCCTCCATGATCCCTTGTATATGTCCCCCGGTTATCCCGTGGAAGAGCATAGCTGCTGGTCGGAAGGGATAGGCACTTTCTTCTGTTCTGCAGCCCACAATTTCCATATACAGAGGTGTCCTCCAGCATCCAAGCCCAGAAGAAGCTCTGACAGGCAGCCCGCAGACTCTCAGCAGTCCTGGTCCTCCTGGAGACACAGTAAGAAATGACCATCAGCCATACAGAGGGCACAGCCAGGTGAAGGATGGGGGGCTCTGCAGGACACACTGCCAGGAGAGGAGAAGCTCCCTTCACTGATGTACACAGGACCTGGTCAGACAAACTTGGGAAAGAGCACCAACCAACCCATTGCTGATCTCTGGGTAGGAGGGGCTCACATTTTGTTAGGCAAAACAAAAGGTTGTCATGCACTGCTGAAGCCCACAGTGATGGACAAGTGGTGACAAGTGGGGCTGGGGGGGGGGGGGGGTTAGCATTTCCCCCTTCTCATTCTCAGTTGTTTATTTCAGCCAGGAGGCTGGGAGCATCAGCTGAACCTCTGTGGGACGAAACAATGTCACAGGGATGTCCTGAACAGGATGACTGTACCACCTACAGAGGGACACATGGGAAGATTGGGCTGCACAGTCTACATAGCATCACATCTGGTTGGTGTAACTTTGTCAAAGTGTCCCAGGTAGCTTCTGTGTCCCCACATATCACTCTGCGAGGGGTGTCAGGGTCATTGATCTCCCTAACTGGGTAACTTATAGTCACAAAAGAAGGGGGTGGGGAGAGAGGGAATGAGAGAGAGAATAAAAGAGTGAGAGGGGATGAAGAGAAAAGGACAAAGCAAGAGATGGGGGACAGAACACAAAAGAGAGGAAGAAAAAGTGAGGGAGAAAAGAGGGAGAAAAGGAAAAGAGGAAGAGAGAAAAAGAGAGAGAGGGGAGATGGGGAAGAATCCGAGAATTGGAGGGATAGAAAGAAAGGAGGAGAGAGAAAGGCAAGCACATACAAAAGAGAGGAAAGACAGGCAGATTGGGGGGGGGGGGGGGGGTAGAGAAAGAAAGAGATGAAAACAGTCAGAGAGAGAAAGAAAGAGGGGACAAAAAGAGAGGGCAAGACAAAAATGGGTGAAGACATAAAGGGGAAGAAAGAAAAAAAAGGGGGGTGTAAAAGAAAGAAGGGGAAACCATACAGAGGAAAAGACAGGCAGATTGGAGGGGTGTGGGCAGAGAAAGAAAGAGAGGAAAACAGAGAGTCAGGAAGAGGAGAAAGAGAGGCCAAGACAAAAAAAGGGTAAAGAGATGAAGGGGAAGAAAGAAATAAAGGGGGGGGGGGAGTGAAAGAGAGAAGGGGAAACATAAAGAGGAAAAGACAGGCAGATGGGGGGGGGGGTAGAGAAAGAAAAGAAATGGAGAAAGAAAAAGAAAGAAAGAAAAAGAAAGAAAGAAAAAAAGAAAGAAAGAAAGAAAGAAAGAAAGAAAGAAAGAAAGAAAGAAAGAAAGAAAAAGAAAAAAAAGAAAAAAGAAAAGAAAAGAAAGAAAGAAAGAAAGAAAAAAAAAAAAAAAAGAAAGAAAGAAAGAAAGAAAGAAAGAAAGAAAGAAAGAAAGAAAGAAAGAAAAAAAAAGGAAAGAAAGGAAGGAAGGAAGGAAGGAAGCGAGCCCATTGTGTGTTGGGATCTCGCTGTGACATTGTAGGATTAGGCTGTGCAGCTGTTGCATGTTTCCTGACACCTCCATCCACTGTGTTTCCCTAAATGCTGATTACTACTTTTCTCGTCAGAGCCCTCAAGGAGAGAAAGCAATTGCAAGTGTCCCATTCCTGACTGTTGCCAGAAATCTCCAATATTCTCCAGCATAACTAGCAGATTGTTAATTCAATCCATTCATTCTGGATTACTCCAACCATCTTGTACCCCCAGCACCTGACCCCAGGACACATGACATGGGTATTGTCTATTACACTGAGGGGTATTGTCTAGGACTGACACACCTATCACAATTTTCTAATTACATTTGGTGCAATCGGCCGATCCATATCATACTGTGTATGGTGAGCTCTATGTTGCCTCAGCAGGAGGTCGCATAGGGAAGACAGATTTAAATACTGCCATTCTTTAGCCTATGAATATTTAAAGCTGGAGCACAAGTGATTCCTAGTAATTGAGTGGAAGTAGAGAGGCGCTGGATGGTCCCTCCTGACAGCCGGGGGATGCAGCAAGCTGTGAGCAGAGAGAGAGGAGCCAAGTGTACATCATCATGGTGTGGACAGTCTCCTGCCTGCACTGACACACACCAGGGAGCCCTTTATATGTGATGAGAGCCATACAATGGACCTAAAAGATTTCTACATCTCTGTGTACAAGGCTAGCTTCTAGTCACCATGTCTATTTATGAAAAGAAAGAAAGATTTACTAACACAATACACACAATCACTGACACAACAACCAGTTGATCGTTTGATCTCTGTACAAAAATCTAAGCTAAGTTTTGATTGGCTCTCAGGTTGTAACACTAGCAGCACAGTTCTTGTTTGTTACATCAATGTGTGGATATTTTGTTGCATAGATATACCCTAATCATTGTACATGTGCCTGCGATTGATTAACACTAGAAGATAAAGTGATCCATTTACTAAAGAAGTAAATTTACTAACCCAGCCTGTATGAGTGGTGTCAACTACCTGAACATAAAATCAAGAATAGTGTGCTGATCTGGATGCTTGATACAAACATAAAAGTAAAGATGAGGCTAGCTTTTTTAGTAAATTAGCCCAAAGTTTCCCCCTATGTCAAGTTTCAGGATGACTGGCATGTGATCTCTATGCCCTACATGTGCAATCAGACATCTGATGTGGCTAATAAATGTTCAATATGTCAACGTCAGGTATATGATACTTATAACTATGGGTAAAGAGTGTGGAGGGACATTCACATCAGACAATGCTATGCTACACATAGATCTATTGCATGCACATGATTAGCCTAGGATGATTGATACATATATATGAGTAGTCTAGGATTGATACATATATATATATGATTATCCTAGGATCATTGATACAGATCTATGAGTAGTCTAGGACTGATACAGATATATATGATTAGCCTAGGATCATCGATACATATATATGAGTAATCTAGGATTGATACATATATATACGATTAGCCTAGGATCATTGATACATATATATGAGTAATCTAGGATTGATTGATTTATTCATTTATTTCAGGTACTTATATAGCGCAGTCAGTTTACGCAGCGCTTTACATATATATTATACATTCACATCAGTCCCTAAAACCTCAAGGGGTGTACAATCTAAGGTCCCTAACTTACATTCATACATACACATACTAGGGCCAATTTAGACAGGATTCAATTAACCTACCAGCATGTCTTTGGAGTGTGGGAGGAAAAACCGGAGGAAACCCACGCAAGGCACAGGGAGAACATGCAAACTCCAGGCAGATGGTGCCGTGGCTGGGATTCGAACCAACGACCCTAGTACTGCTAGGCGGAAGTGCTAACCATTTAGCCACTGTGCTGCCCATTGATGTATATATAGATGATTAGCCTAGGATCATCAATTCATACAGTATATAGGAGTAATCTAGGACTGTTGCATATATATATGATATGATTATTATTATTATATTCATTTTATACAGTAATATAAAGCGAGTTAATCATTGGACAGATGTGACAGAACAAATACCAATACAATGCAAAACATAATATATCGAGCTTACAATATACATATATATAGTAATCTATATAGATATATATATAATATATATTTATGATTAGTCTAGGATCATTGATACATATATATGAGTAGTCTATGATTGATACATATGTATGTGAATAGTCTAGGATCATTGATATATATATATAGTCTAATATCATTGATACATACATATATGAGTAGTCTAGGATTAAACACACACACACAAACACAACACACACACACACACACACACACATATATATATTATATAAATATATTAGTATGCTAGCATTGATATATATATATATATATATATATATATATATATAATTAGTCTAGGATCAGTGATACATACGAATAGTCTAGGATTTTATATATATATATATATATATATATATATATAATATAGATATATATATAAATAGATATATAGAGATATATATAGATATATATAGTAATACATTTAATAAATACAACTTGATCATATATGAGAACATCAAAGGTTTTATACTTAACGAAATGGCTCCCTAGGATCACGTATGTTGATCCTGGCCATAGGTATATAGATTAAATAATATATATATTACTATTAGTATTATTATTGAGGGATATACATCTTTCATGGGTGATGATGATGTGTTTTCCCAGTGTAAGCCCCGATTCATTCCCTCTTTACATTCTAATAGAAATGTTCCTGTTTTTTTTCTTTTTCTATTAAAGCTTCACAACTAGATCTGCACACATTTAATATATATATTTTTCCCTCTTTTAGAAAATCCCTTAGTACAGATTTACTCCACCACTACAGGTGCACATGAAATAGATGATGAGTGTCAATGGAAAACATAAATACAACTCATTCTAATCTACAATACCATTTAATTATAATCTATACAAAAGACCCCCTTCGGGATATTTGATGTTTTATACCAGATAATATTTTTCTATAATTGATTTTTTTTAGTGAACCTAAACAAACGTTACCATTGGCACCCGACATTTCCATCTAGCAATGCCTGGACCCCAAATTCATGAGAATGATGATATCTGTCTGGGCTTTGTTTCCCGACCACAAAGGTGTACAGTATATGCATAGAATTACAGGGCTTTTTATGTCATATAGATGTCATTTTCTGTCCTCCAGATGTCATAAAGGATCTGATCATTTGGATCACATAACCCCCTATTATTTTTGTAGTGAAGTTGTAGATTGCATTTCTTTAAATTGATTTCTGACAAGAGTCCTAATTATAATAATGAATATTATTATTGGGAAGAGAATTTGTCAGTCTACTTTTAGCACCCCTCGTTGAACTGATGCTGTCTCTGCTGCTGTCCAAATGGTATCACTTTGGCCATAAATACCTTGTTAGCTGTGGCCAGAGGCGAGAGG